GTTCAGGATGGTGAACAGAAGCACACTGTTGACACTCCGGGAGTCATCTGAGTCCCCGGGGCGGGAGATCTTCTGGCTGGTGGAGTAGTTGACAAAAGCAGGGTGACCAGCGATGTAGATTTGGTTGTCGGCTGCGTAGTTCACCGCATTACAGGCCCCCAGCACGTCTTCAAACTCCACCAGCGCCTGCCGCTTCTTCGGCATCACCACCACGTAGCTGCAGAGGGAAGGCGGGGCTCAGGCTCCTGTGAGCCAGTCACCCCCTGGTCCCCGCCCTGTTTCACAGACTGAGCCAATCACAGCGCTAGTCAATCACTGTCTGGGCAACGTCGCAGGAGAAGGAATCTACACTTTTCTCCAGCACACCGGTGAATGAAGTCTCTGACTAGAGACCACAGGTGTGCGGCAGAGATGGAGGGAGCAAAGCTGACCCTGAAACACTGAAGGGTGAATTCTGTGAGGAGCCATCGGACCCGGACCAGGATGGTAGAACACTGCTCGGAGCCAGACACCAGGACACGACAATGCTAAGGAGACTTAAGGCCTGGCCCCAGAAGACGCACCTGATGGGTCCAAACTCTTGCAGGGCTTCCACAAGGTCAGCTTCTACCACACCGTCAATCAGGCCCCTGATGTGGACAACTGGGGAGGCAGGGGTTTTGTGGGGGTCATCGTAGTTCTCCTGAAAAAGGACGGACACAGTGAGTTAAGAGGCACCCGATCCAATGCCATCTGATGGGAAAAGGCTTGAGTGGGCAGCCATCTGCCCACTGGCTTGTTTCTAAGGCAGGCTGACTGTAGTGGAGGGAGAACCAGAGGCTCACATTTGGCATTCTTCCTGGAATCTGTCTCTCTCCTCAATCAAGGTACAACAGGAAGAGAGGCTTGGAAAGGGGCCACACCCACGGAAAGCTCCAACAGCGGCCAGCTGGCCTGAAGAACACACTGTGTGTTCTAGCTTCTGTGCACTTCCTCTGGGTAGGCAAGCTGTGGTCACCTAGTGAGGAATGACTGCTACCCACAAGTCACCTTCAGCTGCAATCAGGGCACATGGCTTCCAGGACAACACGCCCTTCCTGTCTTACACTGACTAGGCCACACTACAGAGAACAGAGAACTGCTACCCCACCCAATCTGTCACAGCAACCACAGCTCCTCCTCAGGGGTCTGTCTCTCCACATGTGCGCACACAAGCCTCTGGGGCTCGGACCCAGGCTCCTCCCCGAAGAGCACTAGGCAGATGCCCACGAATATTACTGGGCTCTTTTCAGGAGTGAACCACACAGGGCACTTCCTGGCAATTTCCAGCCTGGGCTTAGGCTTGTCTCCCACAGCTCTGAATTGATTAATCCTCCCTGTTCTTTCCATCTCAGAGGAACAGCCAATTTTAAATTATTGGGAGGGGGCAAGGCACACTGTTAGTATGCAGGCGTCTGCACTGGCCTGCCCGTGGGGTCCTGACAGGACACGCTCCCTGCTGCTGCCACTAAGAGCGCCCCTTGTGTATATTCACCATGTTCTCTCTTAAAAGGGCCCTGGCCCACTGGCTGGGCAGTGGTGGCCAAGCCTTTAATCCCGGCACTCAGGAAGCAGGGGCAGGCGATCTCTGTGAGTTTGACGCCAGCCTGGTCTACAGGAGCCAGGATAGGCTCCAAAGATACACAGAGGAACACCCCTCCCTTGGAAATAAATAAACCGGCCCTGCCCACCTCCCATCGCCCCACCCCACCATATCCCGCAGCTCCTGTCCGGAGGCCAGTCTCCCTCGCCCTTCTCTAAGATTCCTTTCCATCTTTCTCTCTCCCGCCGCTTTTCTTAAACCACACCGAGGAAATCTACCATCCTAATGAGGCTAAGCTAGCAAATGCTTACAGCACGAGATGCAGCTGAACAAGTGGGTATTGTTTGAGAGGGGTCTCGCTGTCCAGCCTCGTCTGGCCTGGAACTCACTAGGCAGACCAGGCTGACATCAAACTCCAGAGATTCGCCCGCCTCCGCCTCCAGAGCACTGAGATTAAAGGCCCGCACCACCATGTCGGGAGGGAGGACTTTTATAACACTTTTTTAAAGGAGTGCAGACTGCACCTTAACACAGAAACCACATCTGCGACTCTTGGAAGACTGAGTAGGTCAGATGCCTCCGCGCACGGGCCACAGGCCCAGAATACATATCCTAATTTATAATAGTGCCCCTCTCCTGGAGACCGTAGGGCTTGGCTCAACTGCCCAGCTATTATCTGCCTCTTACAAACTCTCTTCCGTTTCACAGTGCACACAACAGATGAAATAAGTCAACTTCTATAAAGATGCGACCGTGATTACCACCGCGACGGGGCGGAATTGCCGACCCCGTCAAGCCGCCGCCCACCCAGTTCCCGCTCGCAAAAATCTAGTTACAGAAGCGCGCTTGCGCACGGGACACGGACTTAAAAAAAAAGATAAAGGGAGAAAGAAAAAAAAAAGTCCCGGCCGCGTGCCTGGGCCCCCCACATGCCAGCCCGCGGCGCCTGCGCACTGAGCCGCCCGCAGAGGCAGCCTCTCCCCCCGCCCCCGCAAGCCCCGCTACGGGCTGCGCGCACGCGCAAGCGCCTGTCCTCGCGCAAACCCCGCCGTTTGCCCAACGCCTGCCCCTCCCCCACCCCGCCAGGAGCGCGAGGGCCGCAGCGCGTGCGCAGAGGTCCCCCGCAAAAAATAAATAGCTTTTAAAGTAAGAAATTTGCCCTTCCTTCCGGGAGCCTAAAACCCTGGCCGTACCCCGCCGCCGCCGCCCGCCGCCCCGGATCCTCCGCCGCCGCCGCCTCCGTGCTGGTCGCCGGCGTTTTCAGTCTTCATCCGTTTAGGGGCTCGGCCGCCCTCGTTACCGCCGCCGTAATAGCGACCACCGCCGCCTCCGCCGCCCGCCGCCGCCATCTTCACCATCGCTCCCGCCCGCCTCAGCTGCTCGTCCGGCTGCTGCCTCTGCTCGAGCCGCCGACGCCGCTTCTCCGCCCGGGGCAGCAGCCTCCGCGACATGGCGGCGCAGAACCCGCCTCCCCCCCGCCTCTCATTGGGGGAGGGACACGCCCGTCACTCGCCGCCCCCACCCGATAGGGGGAGCCACTGGCCCTGCCATGGGGGGAGGGGAAGGCCCCACACGAGCCACGCTTATTGGATAGAGCCCATGCCCTTCTCCTGGAAAGCCCACCCTCGCTCGTCTGTCGCACTCCGTATAGGTGAGTGTTTCCTGCCAGTCATTCCGTCAAGCTCCGCCTCCTCAAGATAAACTCCGATTTGATAGGGCGGATTTTTGGCATCGCTCCGCCTTCCCGCAGACAGCAAATGGCAGCGGCTCCCCGAAGCTCCGCCTCCTTCCCGCTCTCATTGGTTTCCTCGCTTATCGGTCACTCTCGTCCCCCCCCCCCCGTCACAACGATCACCTTCCCGCGCCACTCCGCTGGGATACAAGAAAGGCTTTCCCTTCTGGGTCCCCGCAATGGTTCCCGCAGGTGCCCGTCTTGTACGTCACCACTCGATTGGTCAATGGAGAGAGGAAAGAAAATCCTCTTGCCAGATGGTATAGGACGACTGATAGTCTCTGATTGGTAAAAAAGGGAGCTCGTAGGCGCTCTCTGGCGCAATCTAGGAACGGCCCCAAGGACGCATGCGCTACCGTACTTTTCGGGGCCTCGGGAGGTGACTCTAAGCTACCGATGGGCTGCCCGGACGGCCTTCCCGGTGCCTGCTGTTTGCAAGCTCCGGAAATGTAGATCAACACAGCAGTTGGCAGCTATGAGCCCGCTAAATACGTGTCCACTTGACCTTTACCCAGTCTGGAGGGTTAGTATTTGAAAAGAGATCCTCCAGATCTGAGCACTTCTCGTTATATAAGAGCAGCACTCATTGCCAGCTGACTTGGGACCCTGTCCTGCAGTCGCCATCATTGGCTTGACGTTCAGCCACGGCAGATCCTTTCCGTTTAGCTCGGTTCGCACGTGGCAACGGCGCCCCGAGTCCTTGGGAGTGCTTTGTGGCTCCTTGGAGACCGAGAGCTGCGACGCGGCCCCCCAGCGCCCTTCGGGGAGCGGTCAGGAAAGGTACTAGCCGAGGACCCCGACCACAGTCCGGCCCAGAGGCGTTGTGGGGGCCAGAAAGGGTCAAACAGGCTGGGGGAGGCAGCTCAGCGGTGCAGCGCTGGCCGCGCAGACATGGCGCGTCTTTACACCCGCCACCACCGCCACACACAAAGGGAAGAGTCGCAGGCCGCCCCAAACGCGCTGGGGCGCCCTTCCCCCAGGTCGGCGGGAGCCCAGAGCGGGGAGAACAAGTTTGAGATGTAAGGACACGGGGTGGAAGCCCGCTTGCTTCGAGAAGTTTTGGGCATGGTGTGGTGGTTGCAAGCCTGTGATTCCAGTGCTCTGAAGTCAGAGGCCGGATTGCCTTGAGTTCAGGGCTACCCTGCGCTACACAAGGATTCTTCTAATAAAAAAAAAAGTTTGGAGGCGTCTGGTGATCTAAACGAACCTCCACCCTATTCACTGGACACAGCCACTCCAAAGCCGGCACTCCCAACGTGGGGGGCGCCACGGCGCAGCAGGTGACGCGCAGCGGTGGGGCGGGCCGCTCCCGCGGAAGGGCGGGTCCCGCGTCGACGTCAGAGGCGGTGGTGGGGGAGGGGAGCGGGCGGTCCCCTCCCCGCCCCCGCGATCAGCCCGGACGCCCCTCACTCGGGAGCGTGGGCGGCACTCGGCGGGACCCTGTGCAGTGCGGGCCGCTGGCGGGCCACGCGCGCCGCCCGGGGCAGCGACTTGGCGCCCGTGCCGGCTGCTCCCGCAACCAATCCCCCGCCCTCCCGCCGGCGCGGCGACGTGCGTCCCGCCGGTCCCCCCACGGCCCTCCCCGACCCCGCGGCCCTGTCCCCTACCAGCTCGGCGGCGAGCCTGGCCGGCCGTCCGGGATCGAAAAGAGCAGACACTGGCAAGTTTTGGGGGAGGGAGGGGCGGGCCTTAAAGGGACCACGACCTCTTTTCACTGGGGGAGTGGGGGAACCGAGGAGGTACCGAAGCTGGAACGGAGTGGGAAGAAGGTTGAGCTGCTGCGATCGTTCTGGGGTCCACGTAAAATGTCCCCCCGTTGCTTGGGGCTCACGTGGCAGTTTCCTCCATTTGCTGAGTGTTTTAGAGATAAATGTAGACATGTATGTTGTACACATGAGTAAGCAGGCTCAGAGGCCCCAAGGTGCCAGGGCTGCTAAGTGTCAGACATCAGAACCAATGAAGGGTGATGTCTGTGTGCTTATCTGAGCACTGAAGAAAGGTGGGCACAGCACAGGTTCGACCCCATGGCCTGGTTCAGCTAACCAGCGGAGACAGGACAGCTTGGGCTATACAGCTGGACCACGCCAACATACATGCAGGTCATGGGACTCTGGCAGCTCTTGAAAATCCCCACCTACCCAAACCTGCTGATCCTCTCTGCCTGCGGAGGTCAGAAGAGGACTGTCTTCGGATCCCCAGGGACTGGAGTTAGATGCAGCTGTGAGCTGACATGTGGATGCTGGGACTTGAACCCCAGCCCTCTGCAAGAGCAGCCAGTGCTCTTAACGGCTGAGCCAACTCTCCAGTCGTGTTCTTTTCATCGAAGGGCCTTTGACTCCTACCTGAGTCCAGTAAGCCTCCACACGCAGTTCTAGTGGTGGCTCAGGCATAATCCCTGAGAGAAACTGGGTGTGGGCAGCAACCGTGCTGTCTCAGAACTCGCCGTTTTTATTCCCAGGGCTCGGCCACAGAAAGAAGCCATGGTGCTGTGCCTGATGGGTGGAGACGGGAACACCTCCCTGCAAGGCTACTGGAGCACCACGGATGCTCCCCTCGCTGGGACCACCTTGGGGTAGAAAGGGTTATGAGGTGAACCTGCTTGCTGGTGGCATGAACAAAGCAAGCTAAGCTGATAAGGTCACTGCTTGATGTAGTCCAATCTCAACCTTCCTAGCCAGAATTCAGTGGTGCCAGCACCCCACCTGCTTACCTGCCTGTAATCTCAGTTCTGGGAAACTGAGTACAAGGTAATCCTCTGCTCCTAATGGATTGGGGACAAACCTGAGCTACATGAAAGCCTATCTTCTCAAGAAACAAGAACTTTTTTTAAAAAATCAAAGTAATAGAGCCAACGTCTAGCCAGTTGGGGAGATGAAGCTGCTTTGGTGCACAAGCGGGGTCCCCAGAACCCAGTAAAAGTAGAAAGACAGAAGTAACTCCACAAAGTTGTCTCTTGACTGCCACACACACCATGGCACTCAACCCCCGCCCCACAGACGCACACATCATGCACACACAATAGTAAAATAATCACTGGTGGTGGCGCATGCCTTTAATCCCAGCACTCGGGAGGCAGAGGCAGGCAGATCTCTGAGTTCGAGGTCAGACTGGTCTTCAAAGAGTTCCAGGACATCCTCCAAAACCTACAAAGAAACCCTGCCTCAAAACCTCCTCCGCAAAAAGGTAATGATTCAAACTCTTCTTCCAGGGCTGGAGAGATGGTCCAGAGGTTAAGAGCACTGACTGCTCTTCCAGAGGTCCTGAGTTCAATTCCCAGCAACCACATGGTGGCTCACAACCACCTACAATTCAATCTGGTGTCCTCTTCTGGCATGTAGGCAGAACACTGTATATGTAATAAATAAATAAATCTTTAAAAAAAAAACAACTCTTCTTTCAGGGCTGGGGCTTTAGCCCAGTGGTGACCACTTGCTGGACTCCTCCAGTGAGGCTGGGAAGCCCACCTCAGTGCCAGAGCTCTCGCCAAACACGTACAGCACAGTGGGTTCCATACATAGTACTGCGCTAAGCAAATCAATAAAAACTCAAGGAATGCAGCAAGATGGCTTAGCAGCTAAGATCCCTCACTGCCTGCTTTCCCAGAGGACCCAGGTACAACTCCCAACACGTATGTGGTGACTCACAATCATCTACAACTCCAGTTCCAGGGGATTCTGTGCACTCTTCTGACCTCCCCAGGCCCCAGGCACACATGACATATACAGACATTCGTGTAGGCGAAACACCCAATGTATACAATACTTAGAAATATATTAAAATCCCTCTTCCTTCAGTAACAGGGACAGGACATCCCCAAACAGAGTCCACCTTGCTCTCAAGTTTGTCTTCCCTGTTATTTCCTTGTTTTGTTTGTGTAAGAGTGTCTCACAAGGTAGCTCTGGCTGACAGAGAATTCTCTATGCAGACAGGCTGGTTTTGAACTGACTGCCTCTGCCTCCTGGTTTCTGGAAGTAAAGGCATTTGCCACCATGCTCAGCTACCCTGTTGATTTTTTAAATTATTTTTATGTATATGGGTGTTTTGCCTGCATGTCTGTAAACCATATGAGTGTGTAAGTGCCCAGAGGCCAGAAGAAGGAACTGAATAGATTACAAACAGTGGGGAGCTGCTCATAGTAGGAGCTGGGAATCAAACCTGGGTCCTCTGGGCTAGCAGCCAGTGCTTGTTTGTTTATATGTTTGCTTTGTTTATTTGAAGACAGGATCTCACTATGTACCTCTCAATGTACTGGAACTTACTCTGTAGACCAGGCTGGCCTCAAACTCAGATCCACCTGCCTCTGCCTCCTCAGTGCTGAGATTTTTGTTTTGTTTTGTTTTTCCAGATAGGGTTTCTCTGTGTAGCTTTGGAGCCTATCCTGGCACTTGCTCTTGCTCTGTAGACCAGGCTGGCCTCGAACTCACAGAGCTCCGCCTGCCTCTGGCTCCCGAGTGCTGGGATTAAAGGCGAGCCTTACTATGCCCAGCTTGTACTCTTTACTTGAGAGTCACCTCTCCAGCTACCTTCCTTTTTGAAATGATCTCATTTGGGTTCTGGATAGCCTGGAGCTCTGTAATTGGACTAGGATGGCCTAAACTCAGAGATCTTATCTCCCCGCCTTCCACGTGGGTTAAAGCTGTGGGCTGCCATGTCTAACTTCCCCTTTTATTTGCACAATGCCTTTGGGTAAAACATCCGATTGGTCTACAGGCCAGGGCTCATTGTGGTTCCCTTTTTTTCTTCTATTTATTTATTTATTTATTTATTTATTTATTTATTTATTTATTTGTTTGTTTATTGTGTATGCCTGCATGCCAGGGGAGGGCACCAGATCTCATTCAAGGTGATTGTGAGCCACCATGTGGTTGCCGGGAATTGAACTCGACTCCGGAAGAACAGTCAGTGCTCTTAACCTCTGAGCCATCTCTCCAGCCCTTTTTTTTTTTTTTTTTTTTTTTTTTTGGATTTTCAAGATAGGGTTTCTTACAGAGCTCCGCCTGCCTCTGCCTCCCCAGTGCTGGGATTAAAGGTGCCATCACAGCCCGGCTTTGTGGTTCTTTTTTTTTGTATTTTATTTTTATGTGCTGTATGCATATGTACCTTCATGGTTTATGCACAGCACACTTGTGCAGCTGCCCTCAGAGTCCCGAAGGTGTTGAATGCCCCGAACTAGAGTTACAGCTGGTTGTGACAGGGCCTTACCGTATAGCTCCGGCTGGGCCTCACCTGACAATCCTGACCTTGCCTCCTTCAGTGTTGAGATTACAGGCACTAGCCATGCCTAGCTTTCCCTAGAAGATTTTTATTCCTCTAACTCTAGACAATGGGCATATAAAATACGTGTCCATGACAATCATGGCAGTGCTCACCTTCAACACCAGCATTCAGGCTGCAGAGGCAGACTGATCTCTGTTCCTGGACCTGGTCTACAGAGTCAGCCAGGGAGATAGAGACCCTTTCTCAGAAAACCAAAAAGGAGAGAGAGAGAGAGAGAGTTGCAGCCACTGCGTGTTGAGAAACTATTGTTGCCAACTTTTCCCCAACCTCACGTTCCGTTACGCAACCCCAATATGGCATTCAAGCCTACAGTTGCAGCAGCTTTGCTGGAATCCACAGACATACCCCCCGGGACAGCTATCCTGAGGATATTACAGCCCCTGCTCACCTGCAGTGTTGGTTAATATTTGCCAACTTGACTGGATCTACAATTTCCCAGCAAACAAGCGTTGGCATGTCATAGCAGGTCGTCATGGGAGGTCATACAGAAACAGACGTGGGCCTGCAAGCTGCTTATTAACTTTTTTTTTAAAACAAGGACATGATTGCCGTTCCTGGAGCAGGCAGTGCAGAACCATTTGTAGTTTAAGGTTACAGATGGGGCACAGCCCAATCCTTGAGAAACAGATTTAATCATAAACGTGAACGAACCTGGTTTGTCTTTACTATAAAATGGCTTCTAAGCCTAAAATGGAGGCAGGCTGGTTCTTAATTATCTAGATAGGTTAGCCTCTGGATGTGCCTGGAAGGGATCTTTTAAATTAGGTAAATTAAGGTGTAAAGAACCACTTTAGTTTTCGGGGGCCCCATTCCATGGACAGGGGGTCTCAGACTTAATAAAAAGGAGAAAGCCTAGCCGGGCATTGGTAGCGCACGCCTTTAATCCCAGCACTCGGGAGGCAGAGGCAGGCGGATCTCTGTGAGTTCGAGGCCAGCCTGGACTACCAAGCGAGTTCCAGGACAGCCTCCAAAGCTACAGAGAAACCCTGTCTCGAAAAACCAAAAGAAAAAAAAAAAAAAAAAAGGAGAAAGCCTTCATGGCTGCTCCCTGATTGGTGACTCAAGGCGACCAGTCAGCCTTCTGTTGCCGCTGCTGCTGGCCAGGCCTTTCCCAATCGATGGATGATCCCCTCAAACTGTTAGCCCAGAGAAACCCTCCTCTAAATTACTTTCTCTCAGCATGAGAAAAGCAAGTAACATACAAATATTTATTTCCTTCCACATGGAGCCATTCGTTAATTTCGGACCCCTGACTAGAACCTGGGCTCTTTAGGGGCTGGGTGAGCAGTCATGCATTGTATAAGGACCCCGTGCCCCACATGGATGGCACACAACCCCACGGCCCCCTAAGATTATACTGCCTGAAATGACTTGTTGAACCAGAAAACATAGATGTGTTCAGAAAACATCTGATCAGCATATAAGCATACCTGAAAGGCACGTCCACTGGTCAAATATTGAACAACCCGTGGACTCAAACTAAATCCTGGGGAAGAGATGGCTGTGTTGTTGAACATCTGTATAGAATCCCAGCCCTGAGGAGGCTGAGGAAGGACAGTCTTGAGTCCCAGGCAACCCTGGGCTACACAGTGAGACCTGGTCTAAAAAAACAAAAAAGTAAATGTGTTCATTTCACGCGGGTCCGTGGAAAGAAGAAAGAGCTACTCTAGGATGAATTCTAGCCTTCCGTGGCTGCAGGGAAGTCAGCCTCCGGTTAACTGACCATAGCTTTGCAAAGGGCTTTGTTACTGTTATACAAATCACACCTTTAGCAAATCAATTCCTGTAAACCAAAACCTCTTATCTAAACTTCCCAAAGAGACAATGCCAATGCAAATTCCCTGCCACTGGGACGTCTCAGTTTGCTGAGTCCTCCCGCAACCACATTTTGCATAGGCTTTGAACCTTTAGGAAACTCTCAGATAAGATCTACATATTTCAACGGGGAGGTGGAGGCTGGGGATAGCCTTTAATGTCAGCATTTGGGAGGCATAAGCAGGTGCAACCCAGGCCAGCCTGGTCTACAGAGTTCCAGGACAGCCAATGCTGATACACAGAGAAACCCTGCCTCTAAATAAATAAGTAAATAAATTTACATACCTCAAACAAAAGGTAACGGACACAAAAGGCAGATCAAAGCTAGGTGCTTCTAGTCCAGAATCAAACCAGCTGAAGAGCTCTGCAGGATTTCCCACCACAAATAGAGGTTGGGGAGGTGGCTCAGCAGTTAAGAGCACTGGCTGCTTTTCCATAGGACCCGGGTTCGATTTTAGGACCCACAACCATCTGTAACTTCAGTACTAGAGGATCCAACACTTTCTTATGGACACCAGGCACACAGAGATACAAACAAACAAGACACCCATCCATCTAAAATGTTTTATTTAAAAATGAAACATGAATATGCATATATTATGTATATGAATGTGTGTGGAAGGCACTGAGGTTCCTGTGCTCACAGATAAGCACTAGGGTAACCAGGAATGTTAAACACACATTGTCAGCCGGGCGTTGGTGACGCATGCCTTTAATCCCAGCACTCGGGAGGCAGAGGCAGGCGGATCTCTTTAAATTCGAGACCAGCCTGGACTACCAAGCGAGTTCCAGGACAGCCTCCAAAAGCCACAGAGAAACCCTGTCTTGAAAAACCAAAAAAAAAAAAAAAAAAAAAAAAACCACATTGTCTCTTCAAAGGGAGAGATGCTTGTTTTTAGCCCAGAAGGTGGGGAACAGATGTGACCCTTGAGCTGTCTGTGTGCCCAAGACCACACTAATCCCCCCAATCTGCCCTTGTCATGAGTTTGTCAGTCTGTAGAACCCATCTGTTTTCTTTCCTTTTTTTTTTTTTTTTTTTTTTTTGGTTTTTCGAGACAGGGTTTCTTTGTGGCTTTGGAGGCTGTTCTGGAACTCACTTGGTAGTCCAGGCTGGCCTCGAACTCACAGAGATCCGCCTGCCTCTGCCTCCCGAGTGCTGGGATTAAAGGCGTGCGCCACCAACGCCCGGCCTTCTTTCCTTTTTTGTTTGTTTTTCTTTTTTTGTTTTTTCAAGACAGGGTTTTTCTGTAGTTTCTGGAGATTGTCCTGGAACTCTCATTGAAGACCAGACTGACCTCAAACTCACAGAGATCCACCTGCCTCTGCCTCCCGAGAGCTGGGATTAAAGGTGTGTGCGCCGCCGCCGCCGCCACCGCCGCCGCCGCCGCCGCCGCCGCCCAGCTGTAGAACCCATCTTTGTGGTGTCACATGTAGACAGTCTACTGACCCCATCTTTAAAAGACAGGGGTTTTTTTGTTTGTTTTTTCTTTTTTATTATTTATTTATTTATTTATTATGTATACAGTGTTCTGCTTGCATGTATCCCTGCAGGCCAGAAGAGGGCACCACATCTCATTACAGATGGTTGTGAGCATCATGTGGTTGCTGGGAATTGAACTCAGGACCTCTGGAAGACCAGCGAGTGTTTTTAGCCACTGAGCCATCTCTCCAGCCCTACTGAAAAATGTCACATGTACTTTACAAAGCGTTTCCATGTCATCACATTTTTTAAAAAGATTTATTTATTTGTTACATATATAGTGTTCTGCCTACATGCCATAAGAGGGCACCAGATTGAATTGTAGATGGCTGTGAGCCACCATGTGGTTGCTGGGAATTGGACCCAGGTCCTCTGGAAGAGCAGCCAGGGCTCTTAACCTCTGAGCCATCTCTCCAGCCC